AAAAAAAAAAAAAAAAAAAAAAAAAAGGGAAAAAAGGGAATAAAAACTAGAAGAAGGAAAGAAAGGAAATAGAAAAAACTAAAAGAAGGAAATAATAGAGCAAATTTAAGAGAGGAAAGAGACAAAAAAGCCTTTTAAAAGATAATAAAATAAAATTAAATTAAGGGGCTAAAAAAAGGAAAAAAAGAAGAAAGAAAAGTTATGTATATATAACATAGTATACAAGAATAAAAGAAAGATAATCCAACCTTGCTAGCGGTTCCAATAGTAGAGTGGGTATATACCTCAGTGACTTTCCTTCCTTCCTTTCAAGCTGAACGGACTCCTCGACGAACTCGATGCGATTGATCTTGATATGGAGCCGTCCGGCACTATCAACAAGCGGATCAAGAAGCGTGATATTGCGAGGGTTACGACTCGACGCCAGCGTCGGGTGAGTTGGAGTAGGTCATAGGACTCCTAGTTGGCGGGCTGATCTATGCCCAGGTCCCCAGACCGGTACATACTGCTAATGGCTGCCAGTCGGGCACGCAGGTTGTGAATAAAAGAGGCGGTCTTCGGGGTCATAGAGAACTGCTATGGTTCTTACTCTTGGATGATGGGTTCTGGGGAAAATATCGGGATTGGAGACGACGAGGTTGGGAGGGCAGGGATATATTCGATTATGTTTCATAGTTGACAAACCCATTCATTTTTGGAGGAGAGTAGGACATGTAGTTGTCGATGGCGGAAGGAATGGTGCGTAAGTACGCAGTACCAATCGACAGTTGTCGATAGGAGATTGAGAAGTACTGCCTCCTTCAAAGGAGGTCTGCCAGTCAGCGTATGGCCCATTGAAATGGTTACCTGAATCAAGGATACGCGGAGAGCGTGACAGGAAATTGAAATTCTCGACTCTCTTATATTTCAAGTTGACGATCACTAATGAAGAGAATAAAATCAGATTCCAGACTTGTCGGTCCAGACCGATAGCGGTGAGTTATCTTCTGATTAATGCCCCTAAAACTCGAGCAACTGAAAGGAGAACCAACAACGAGAGCTCGAAGCAATACGCTTCATACTAAGACGTGTAAGAAAATGCACATATAAGGTATATCCCAATCCCCAGCCCATCCCATAGAAGATCCCACTCCCACTAGTAGTACAGACGTTTCAGATAGTTCGTAACACAAAGGAGAATAACGAAAGAGCGGAAAAGGCCAATTCTGCTGGATATCCCTAACTCGCAACCGCAAACTGGCGGTTCGTGCGCCTCCTCACCTTGGGGTTCTTGAAAACGCCAGTGGAGCCCTCCGTCTCCCGGCCCGGCAGACTCAGCAGGTCGTCCAGGCTCTGCGCGTTCAGAAAATCCGGGATCGGAGCGGCCGCAGTATTTACGTCTGTTGATGTTGCTTGCGGTGTGGTCCCAGACGACTCGGGCGGGTCGTTTGGCGGTGACGGAACGTTCACCCTGCGTGGAGGGGCGACCATGGGTTTTGGCGGACGCGGAGGCGGAACGTAGGGTTCGGGCGGCGGCCGGACCGGTTGGGTTTGAGATGGCAGAGCAGAAGATTGGGTCGGCGGTTGTGCCGGTTGAGTTCGATGTGGCTTCACTGTGAAAGGTGTAACCCTAGGTGTTGCCGGCCGCGGGTGACCCTTCATCCACTCCTTGGGGCTCACAATGTTGGATTGAGCTGGCAGAGCAGAAGACTGGGTCGGTGGTTGAACCGGCTGAGTTTGATGTGGCTTCACTGTGAAGGGTGTTGCCGGCCGCGGGTGACTCTTTAACCACTCCCTCAGGCGCTCACTTCGTATCTGCGGTTTAGTGAGCAGCTCTGCAACACTGGGGCTGCCGAAGAACTGTCTGAACAGCTCCTCGGCGTCCACGTCCGGCGAAGCTTGACTGGACGGATGGCTGGCGGTCGGTGGAGACGAGGAAGCCGATGGATCTTGGACATTATTGAAGCGCTGTTCGACGTACTCCCCTGTTTTTTCTTGGGATTGCGTGGAAGAGTTTGTGGCAGTCGGGAGATGGCTGTTCATTGGCCTAGCCGCTGGGGTAACACCTGGCGAAGCACTCGACGCTGTCGCTTGGGGTGTAGCAGCGCTGGCATTTTCCGAGGCAGGATTCTTCTGCGGCTGGTCCTCAATCTCGCCCCCGAGCGGATACTCGCCGATGCGTTTCCGCTCAGCTTCCTTCAGCGTGTTCTTGACCAAGTTCGCCGCTTTCCGAAGCTTTCGCACCGTGCCTTCAATATCGTACGGATCCTTCACCTGTTGCCGGAACCAGTGGAAGGAGAGCAAGACCAGTCCGCATAGAACGATGATGCCACATATTTGCAGCACATGGACGTAGGCATGGAGGAACAGCACCCAGGCGAACCTCCCCGCCCATACCAGCGGCTGGAATGGCCACGAGATAACCCACGCAATGGCAAGCTGGTGGCGGCTCACCAGCTTGATGAGGTAGTACTGCGGTACCCATGATACAAAGACCACCAAAAAACCAAAGGGGCCAAACGCCGCCATGGAAACGGCAATAATAAGATTGTTCAGAATGCCGAGACCCGTATAGAACCAGTACCAGACCGTGAAGGTAAGGATCGAATAGATCTTGGCTTGATCATGCATCATGATGTACCCGCCAGCCACGATTGTGCCCAGCAGATACAAGACACTGGTCAGGTGCCTTTGCAAGGTGCACAAGTGAACGAACGACGTGACTGCGATGAGCGTGTACTCTGAGAGGTATGCCAAGCCACTGTAGGAGGGATTCGAGGCGCGCATTTGGCGGAAGACTAGCGTGACGCCTACTCCGGCTGTGGATAGGTATCCCATAAGAAAGTTGAATATGAAGGAAGTGGATACGGCTCGTGCCCAGTACCACCACGAGAAGTCGTGTTGGGATTGAAGATACAGTGCAGGGTCCTTGATCGCCAGCCGAAGGCGATTCATCGGGTTATTCAAGTAGTGCGCTGCAACTGAAGGGAAGTAGATGTTGCGGACGAGGAACATCAATACTGCCAGGCTAAGGTGAAGAACCGACGCAAGGCTGGCCGTTTGCCAAAGGAAATCGACATGGCCAAGTGTCAGCTGGATGCCTTGGGCCACTTCCATCATCTGCTGGGCATGTGTTGCGATAGCTCGAGATGCGACGTTGCCGAAGAGCTCAAAAAGGAGAGTGATGTATTTAACAAAGGCCAGTTTCAGGATGCTTGGAATTGCCTCCACTGCTGCCGTCACTGGGGCTTCCATGAGGGCCTCAGGAGCGTGACGCGCTAGTGTTTTCTTCGGGTCTTCAAACATGTTGTCGAGATAGCTGCCATCCTTATTCAAAAGCAGATTGGACCGAATGTGATGTTGTCCGATGGGGTTGTAGACGAATGTCTTCACGAACGACTCCTCGTTTCCGCCTCCAAAGATCTCAAGCACGACGTAGGAGGTTATATATTGGGCCCCAGACATTCCATGTAGGCGCTTCACCTGCTCTCGGTTTTCGGTGGATGCGCGCAGCAGCTGTTGACCGCCGGGGTTGGGCTGTGCGTTCAGTCGGCTGACAGCACGCATGTATTGGCGATTCGGCTCTGCGGCCGCTGGGATTTGGTCCTGCAGCTCTCGCCAGGCGAAGCATTGAAGAACGAAACGTGCGGGTCCCGCCTGCGGGTCGTCATCGTTGCAGATGAATCGATCGATAGGATCCCAGTTGGACGAAAGTTGATCCCAGAATGGGGCGCTTCCGCACTCTTCTAAAAGATTCGCAACATAGACCAGCGGGTGAATGGGCGAGAATGTTGTACCGCCTGCGGTAGATATCAAGGCGCTGTACACTGGGTTTACAGCGAAGCGAAGAGCCACAGAACGAAGATTGCGAGCAGCTTCGAGCAATGCAGCTGTCCCTCTAGACCCTAGTATAGCTTTCCTGTAGGCTGGCTTCTCGAGCAATGCATCGATGCGAAGCCGGGTGACAGTGGTCTCCTTGGGCATCAAACGACCGCGAACCCTCTGGTACACCCTTCTAACGAACTCGTCGCACTTCTTGTACGTTGTGGGAAGACCATTTTCTTCCACGACACCCAGCTTCTCATAACCGAAAAGAGCCATTGATAATGCACCCTCAGGTTCCTTTTGAATGGTTGCCAAGGGCTCAATTGCCGGCAGAAGACATTCGCGGGCTCGCTTCAGACTGAGAATGTACTCCAAATCGGAGTATCGGCCTCCCACCGGAGGGAGGTCTCGACCGACAAATTCCGTGAGCGCTCCAAGGAAAGCAATCGTGTCACGACTGACGCCTCTGATCATTTGATCTACGATAACGCCAGGCCTGACTGAGGAACGTTTCAGGTGATACTTCCAGTGATCCCAGCAATACTCTACGAATGGAATAGGCGTCGTTGCGAACGAAGTCGCGTGCGATAAGGTGGAGCTCTGAACAATTCGCATGCAGAGCTCAGCTGCCGCTGCTTGAGCCTCGCGCCCAGTAAACTGATATCCCGCCAACCGTAGTTGCTCAGTAGCAGAGCTCTGAGGATGGCGTTCTGAATCATCCGGAAGTAGCAGTGCTTGTCGAACTGAATCATGCACTAACTTCACGGTTCCTTTCTGGATATCGAATTCAACAAGAGAATCCAGAAGGCCGCGAATCTCCTCGATCGCAAACCGGCTGTCTTTGAACTGCTCCCGACCCCTGACCAAGCGTTTAACTTCGCCGTCGATTGTCTTGAAGGTGCCGTCATCCTCCTCTTCGAAACCAATGGTGCCAATGGTGTAAGCATAGTAGAGCTCAGTCGCTGTGAGAGGGCGGGCGTACACTGCAAGGAGCTTGAGAGCGAGGCGGATTTTCCGTTGGGCATCTACTGCTTCGTTTCCTTGAGGCAATCGCATGAACACCTTCTCCCAGGTTTGTGCGAGAGTTGGTGGCAGATTACCCAGCCATTTGTCAATGCCTTCAACATCGCCCGCATACTTCTCCAACAGTTTGAAGGCTCCGTTCACCCACTGGAACACGCCCTGAGCGCCATTGGTAAGCGACTGGACGATTTTGTCTCTGCCGTCTTGCAGCTTTGGCCTTTGTCTCATCAATTCATCGCCCTTGGTCTGGACGAAGTTGGCAATGTCGTCTTCAGTATAGCGGCAGATGTCAATTTCCGCACGCTTCGGGAGTACCTCCTGCATGGCAAAAGAGATGGAGCTGGTAGCCTGGCTGACCACCATGATATGTAGTCGTACCGCTTGGTTTGACATGGCTTCGGCCTGGGCCCTTGAGTTTTTCTTCGCATTCAGTGGGGGCGAGAGTTGCTTCTTGAGCCGAGCAAGAGCTCTGAGGCATGCGATGCCTTGATCGTCTTCGCTGTTTTCCTCAACTCCGTCAACGATGATGTATGCGGGTGCGCCGAGGAGCGTGAGCATATCGACGAGGAGTTTTATGAACTTTGCCTCCTCGTCTGCCATTGCACCAGGGTTGCGCACCCGCTCGTCCACGAAGTTCCTAGCCGTCGCGAATAGTTGTTCATTGTCATAGTGTATTGTGAGCAGTTGATGTACCAAAGTCCCCAAGAAACTGACAACATGCTGATTCGCACGATTGACGCCGAAGAAGAAGAATAGCACCGTTGTTTTCGGCTTGACGTATCCGCAGGCGTTTTTGTTCTTGTCGAGGCGGCATACGGGAAAGCCAGAGCTGTCGAAGTTTGCGCCGGCTGCTCGGCCTTGATCCGTTCGAAGCCAGTCGATAATGTAGGCGGCCAACACGCTTTTCCCGGCTCCACCTTTACCGTAGACCCAAAAAGAATCCAGACGGTTGGAATCGGATGCCCAGCGCTTGAAGTCATGATGGGAGAGAATCCACATGCAGGATTTGGGCGTGTGTCTACGATGGGAGAGGAGCGTACGGAGTTGATCAAGCTGGCCAGTGGCAGGCTTTAGCGCAACCTCAACGGCTTTGCTTGCCTCCGATGCGCCTGTCGTCCCGTAATTACCGGGAGTGAATGTTTTGGCGATGTGCGCGGCTGACTTGGTGACAGCATATTCCAAATCTGTCAAGACCACGTCGTAATTCGAATCGTCTCCAGCTTTGAACTTGTTCAGTTCCTTATGTGTAAGATTGAAGCCTCGGCATTGGGCGTCTGATATGCATGCGGAGGCTTTGCTGACCACTATGTGTGGGTATAGAGGAACGCCCTTCATCTCGTAGTAACAGTACAGCAGGGCCTGCGTAAGCTTGTCTCCCCTGTATAATCGTTTGAAGTCTCGCTGCATGTCGTGAAGCTCTAACGAGTGCGGCCCGAGCAGTCTGATAAGGTCTGGAAATGTGGCTTGTCCGCACATGGAACCGACATACATTTTCATCTCAGCCCAGCGCGAGAAGGTGGAGCCTTTGTGAGGAGTGCCAAAGAAGAACAGGCCACCGACCGCGGAGATGATGTCCAGGTAATTTTGCCTTTCTCGAAGACCTTCCTTGGTATCATGAAGCGTCCGATCCGAGACGTATTCGTTGGCGATTAGAAGAGCCTTCTTGATGACGAGACCACCAAAACTATGTCCCAAGAATACGATTGGACGCTTCTTCCTCGTTGGGCACATCCGAAGCTTTCCAGGATGGCGGCGATCTCTGATGATGACTCGCAACAATTGCCTGGCGCATTCTTCAATCGATGTATATGTCGGGTCACCATAAAAGGAAGAAGGGTACGAGAAAGTTAGGATCCGCGCATCAGGCATGTCCTTCGGAAGCTTTTCTCTCAACCATGGGTACCGAGACCCATCAGGTAGCTTCCGCGCCCATCCCGTCTCCGGGTCAGAGTCCAGGCCATGAACGGCGATGATGCTGGCACATGTTAGGCTCAAAGCAACAAAGATTAATAGTTGGTGTCATACTCTACGGCTGCTTCTCCGCAATACTGGGGTTCACCAGCCGGTCGCTCCGCATACGGTATGCCAGGAGTGTGAAGCTCACGGAGTTTCGCATCTCGCGATGGCTGCTCCTGTTCCTTGGGCGCCTCAAATATCCACTGCAGAATGATCCTCATGGTGGTCACTTGGTGGTTCCAACGAATGACTGCCAGCAAGGAAGCGGCATAGTACCCTCATGGAGAGCAACCAACTGAATTCTGGGAACAAGGTAGATAGGAGGTCGAGGAATAAGAGGCCGCGACAATCGCGACGACTCGATCAGTCACCCCACCGTGCGGCTGAGACAGACACATTGCCAGGGGCTGGAGCGCTGCGCCTGGCAATGTGGCTGGGGCTGAATTCCTGTGAATATTTGTGGCGTTCGTGATGGTTTTCAGCTCAATGCAGGGGGAGATGGTAACGCACAAATAGCGAGTCTCGAGGTCTCTCGCAACATCCCAAAGTGTGCATACGGAAGATGGGGTGGGCTTTCTGGTGGCTTCGGGGAACATTCGCCAAAGCCCTAACACCCTTCGGTTTGTGGTCAGTCTGTGGTCAGTCTGTGGTCAGTCTGTGGTCAGTCTGTGGTCAGTCTGTGGTCAGTCTGTGGTCAGTCTGTGGTCAGTCTGTTACCCCATATTTTTAATGACCCCGCATCGTTGCTCTGCGAACAGTTCAGCGTCCTTCGGCAGTGGAAATGCGAAACATGGGTTTGGCCGCAGTACCGTTCAGCCATGAGATCGAGCTCTGTCCCGAGCTCCAGCTCCGAGAGATCGAAGGACAAAAAAGGCTGGTGTCGACAACGAAACTTCTCCGCCTTCCTGGACACCCAGGAATCCCCCTAGCCGCCGAACCAGAGGTCCGGAACCTCCTGGAGCGCGAAATGATGACACCGGATCTGAACAGAATGGCTCCGCATCTATGGTTGGTCGCCAAACCATCGAGCGACCACTGTAATCCTCTGCACGAACAGGTTGTTCGCGGCCGAAACATTGTCATAACCGAGAATCCGGAGCTGCATCTTTGCTGGTTCGATAGCAGGGTCTTCATCAAACCCATTCCTCGTTATCTCTTGTCGTGGGCATTCTGGCGACACTACTTGAACGATTCGGACGCCGATTCGGATCCAAAGGAGAAGGGGCGGCTGATAGAAGCCGTCCTTGGATACATGCGGTCGTACAGCTTCCTGGTTCGGCATGAATCCGACTACAGGATAGCAGTCAAGGAACACCTCATCCCCGTAACAACGACGTACGAGGACTTCATGATATTCATCTCCAGTTTCGCCGAAATTCAAGACAGCCAAGTCTCACCACGGTATCGATTCGGCGAGCTGCGCCTACGGAGACTGAATATGTGGGCGCCAGTACTCTTGAAGAGGACAAACTTCCACAAGATTGTCTGGCAGTACGGCGACTACCTCGCGCAGTATTACGCACCGTACCTCTTTTTCTTCAGCATCTTCTCGGTCGTGTTGAGCGCCATGCAGGTTGGCGTAGGCGCAAAGACGGATTGGCAATTGTTCTATGGCGTCTCAGCGTGGTTCTCGGTCGCAACCCTGGCAGTCGTGTGTCTGGTCATCTTGGGCATAATAGGTGACTTTGCCCTCCTGAGTAGCAGAGAGGTGGTGTACGCTATCAAGCAGAAGTTCTTCGCACGGGAGAACCCATCCAAAGCATCTAGAAGGGGCTTGGTTTAGACTGCAAATCTAGTGTTAGCATCACCATTTAATCGACGTTGAAATTGAAGCAGCAAACTTTCCACCTCCCGCGCCTTGCACGACAGCCACTGAAGGTGCGTATCCGCAGCTCACAACGCGTCGAGCTCTCGAACTCACAACCCCGCTGCCCAAGGCATCTCAAGCCATTCAGAACGAGACCATGCACGTGATCACAAGCGTACCTAACCATCAATGCAGCGGTGAACGGAACCGACCCCCTCCCGACGGAAAGGAGATGTGAAATACATCTCGAAGAAACCGCAAATTCTTTGTCGACGACGACAACGCAACGCCTCTCGAATTCACGCTAGCAGTCCGAGACGACGGGTGAGGGGAGCTCGGACCAGAAACACCAAAACCTGCCACTACACCTCTATAGCTGTTTGCACGTATTATCATAAGCAAGTATACTTGATTCGTACGCTGTATGACTGCGACAAACGTTATGTTGCGTAGAATCTTTACGTTATTATTAGCTGTAATTCCTACTTACTCGCGCGATGTGTAACACTCTACATAGTAGGGACCACATTCTGTCTTTGTAGGATCTTTTTAGTATCTTGCATTATTTAAGAAGGCGACTTCTCTTTCGTTCTATTATGCGAAATAATGTGCTCGGAAGCTTATTGTTTTGTTGGTACTACGTGGCCCGAGCCTATATAGGTATAGGGGCCCGGTGATGGCATGCATCGAGTTCGCCAAAATTTATATAGACCGTTCTCCTAGAAGGTGTTAGTGTCTAATCTTAGGAAAAATATTTGTGGATGAGGAGGTCGTGCTGGGTACAGAGTGGTGAAGAGAGAAGTACATCTGTACGCGTAGGACGTTCACTCTTGATGCAGGCGAGGCTGATGCTGACTGTGTTGTACGTGCGTGCCTGGACTTGGACGGCTCTTTCATCCATTGACGCCCGTTGATTCAATGCATGTTTTGCTTCGAAACTTGTTTGCACTACCGGGATTTGTTTCTCGTGCATAAGGATTCGCAAGGGCAGGCAGAATTCCTCCAGAGAAACTTTGAAGAATCCTATGCCATTATTCAGATTAGTGCAGACACTGGAATTGAAACCTATACATCCCCTACTATAGGTTGTTTAGTGAGATCATAACCAGTCATTCCTTCGCGGACCGCAGTACAACACGCACGTCGCAAGGAAGCGTCACACGGCCGATCAACCAATCCCATACAACGTCTTCAAGGTTTTTCTCACCGTCACGGCATTTTACTACTGTGGGTAAGCACCAGCTGGGTATCTCAGTTTGCCGTTACTGACGGCAGAACTCGTCTCAAGACATGCATCCGAGTAGACAATCACCGCCGTCGTCACTGCTAGGGCACTGCAGGACCAGGTCTGAGCACCGCGCCTTGCATATCGGATAGCGGGCCGATGGCAGGTAAGCAAGGATTCAACGCGTGGCCGAAGGCTTATTGTATTAGCTGGAGCTTGGTTTAGGTGCGCACGGTATTGTTGAAATGTTTTAGCGTACCCCGGATGAAGGATGAGAGCACGGATGGGTTTTGTGACTTGGATGTCAGCTGTAAGTACGGTCGAGGTATTTCCTTTCATCACGTACGAATAGGCTCTTGAGATGAATGTTCCTTGGTGACGGACGGAATATGCGACACTCGCTGTTAGGAAGTGTGCGGACATTCCATAAAACTGTGCTAGTACGAATCTGTATGACGTGCATCAAAGAATCAGCGGTCCTTTAGAGCCGCCTTGAACATTGTCTAACGTTCAACACACAAAGATGAGCTGCATCCTACCTGAGCCTCCCTCACGCGTCAACCACTGACTGGCCCGCCTTCTCGCCCACGGCAAGCCCCGAAGCTCCGACTCGTTTGAATACCTCACTGGGTACGCCTGAAAGCTTGGACTCTTACGTATGCATTCACGATCCATCCTACGCTACGTGACATGGCATCTACAAGGCATGACTTACAGACAGAGAGGATGACAACTGGATTGCCATGCTGATTGGTGAATAGCCCTAGTAAGAGTGCCTCTGGACCGGTCCTGCACTTTTCCATCACGTTTCTGCGTGCTACGCATGAAGGGCACGGAGCTGGGTGAGAGCTTCATGGCCATCAGGTCGACTGGATCGCCCTGTCGCCGTGCCCGCAGTACACTGTCTTCACGAGTCGTGGGACGTTTCTCTGTGTCACAGTTTCAAGAAACAAACGATGCGCTCAGGATGACCAGGGAGTGCGTGTATGTGTTGAAGACGTCCCATTTGCTGAGCGCGAAGTGGATGTTTTGGAGAAGGTTTGTTGGACTCGGGGTATCGTCGTCACTGTTGCCTGGTTGGAAGAAGAGGATGCCGGAGGACCCGAACGGCCTATTCCTCTTTCTTACCATCACCAAGCTGAACAGACAAACAAATTTGGTCTGAAAAGTTATAAAAGGCCTCATCTTTCCATCTCGAGTCTCATCACCATCCAGCTCAACATTCCTCAGTCTTTCAATTCACAACCCAAGCAACTTCCCAAACCCAACCTTACAACCAACCACCAACCTTCAAAATGCAGCCCACCACCTTCTTCTCCCTCCTTCTTGCCTCTTCGGCCGCCGTCCTCGCCGCTCCCAACGCCGGTCTTACCGAGCGCCAGGCCGGCACCGTCACCGTCCTGTTCCACAGTGACGGCGGCTGCCAGTCGCCCGTGGTCGAAGACACCGTCTTCAGCCAGGGCAGCGGGAACAACTGCGTGAACACTGGAATTGCGATCCCGCACGAGAGCGCGGAGTTCGTGAACAGCAGCACGACTTGCAGGCGTACGTTTGCCTCCATTTGTTTTTTCGTGTAAACACCCAGGCGTATGGTGCTAACAGATCTTTCCAAATAGTCAAGGTCTACAACTCCGCCAACTGCAACGAGGGGGGCAACTGGCAGTGGGTTGAGGCGGGCCAGACGGGCTGCAGGTTCATCAATGTCCAGTCTGCTCGCTTCTTCTGCTAAATGCGGGTGGATTCCGAACCATTGCTGGCTAAGATCGCATGAGACAATAGAAGTGTGTTAACGCCACCGACGCGAAGCCAGTGATTGGTATGTAGAGAGAAGCGGTAAACGATTGGGGAAAGAGGCGTGGCGCCTGGTCGCCTTTGATTCATCGTCTTTCTTTAAGTTGCTGCTTTGTCTGCTTTTAGAATTGCTAGGAAAGACTTTCTTCCCGGGAAGTTCAAGTTTTATGGTGCCCGATGTTTGTGTATGAGTGAAGATGTCCGCTTGCTCATCCGGTCGTCATACTGGGCTCTCTCAGGGGAGTTCTTATTGCTGAAAGGGTTAGTGGATTTGAAAACCGTAATTTTCCGGAAGAGGGCAGCTTTGAAACCGTCACTGCTGTTGACATTGATAATTAGACGACGTGACGGAGCCAATTATTGAGCTTCGTAATTTTGTATTGCCCAAATTATATGAGCTTCGCCTTCCTCTAGTTCCCAAACTTGAAGTATGGTTACACCGTGCAACCCCGCCAGAATCCATCATCCAAAGCTTCGTAAGCTTTCTCTGACTTCAGAAGCGTCATATGCCAATTCCATCCACACTCTTCCCAGGATCCTCAGGTGACAATTATCTAAGACACATAGACCCAGATTGTCGTCCAGTGCTCCGAGTTCCTTCCTCCCGTTATCCCGCCTTGCACGAGTCCGGTGCATCATGGAATAGCTCCTCTTGCGTCGGCCCTGGCTCTATCATGGGCCTGATTTTGAGATGCTTCCTCTCACTGCCATTGTAGTTTTCGTAGACACAGTGACCACTCTCGTCTACCGGATCGTCATACCCTTCCTCTGCTCCGCGCTTGACCAACTCAACCACAATGTCCCAATATTCGTTCTGCACCGCATCCCAGTGCGGCTTGTGCCTCATTCCAGGACTGCCATTCGGATCCCCCCCTGGATCCAGAAGCATCTGCACAAGGTCGGGCTGCCCCGTCTTCACTGCCACCGTCAACGGCGTTTCCCACTCTGCGTAAAGGTCGTCAACCCAGTCGGTACGATACTCCTGATTTGGATTGATTAAGCCGTGTTCAACGAGGAACTTCGCGCTGAACCAGTTCTCCGAACAGATGACGTGGTCCCAAGCATCGAGGTAGAGGGCCACGAGGCCGCGCCCGAACTTTACCCTAAACGCAGCCACCATCAGCTGTTCGTTTTTGGAGTTGAGGCCGAGACGCAGCGCGTAGTTAAAGGCGTTAAAGACGTAGCTATCCTTCATCCTGCTTGTTTGACAGTACTTCGTGTAGACGTTGAGTAGGAAGGTGGCGCATCCTGTATGACGATTTTTCACTGCGACGTCGATGGCCTGCCTCACCATGTATTTGTTTAGAGTTTCCCCCCTTTCGATCCGATACTTAAGAACCGCTTTAAGGATGTGGATGTGGCCTTTAAGCGCGGGCAAGGAAAGTGAGTGGCCCAGAGCAGAATATTCCCGTCCCTGTACGCGGACATTTGGGAGCAGCACGCGTACCGCTTCGAGATTGCCTAGAAATGCGGCGGCGTCGAATGCCGTAGAATTGATGGCATCACCAGTGAATTCTTTGCTGGCACTGTCGAAAGTACTAGTGCCGAGCGGTGCGGTAATGGCAGTATAGACGGATTCGGAGTTCCCCACGATAAGGTTGATGACCATGTCAGTGTACGCTTCACGGGTAGCGGCGTCACTTTTGCCGCAAGCCGCCATGAGCTTGCTAACAACAGTGCGCACGAAGTCGGGCACCAAAGATCGAGCACCATGGGGATGCTGCATGCGATAGCGAATGTAGCTTCCGAGATTTTGCCTCAGAACATATTGACTCCCCTTGTCCCAGCGTCGACCCAGAAAAGAACTCTCGGGCTGCTTAGCAAGGATTTCGTACGTGATGGAGACTTTGAACTTGTCTGCTCCGCGTTTAGCTGCTCACTCTCGTCAGACGATCCATATTAGTCCGAACTTACCGCAAACGTCGCGGGTTTTCCATGCCGTGGCGACGCCGACATCATTGACGTAGTGACGGATGATTTCCCCGAGGATTTCCGGGGGAAGCTCGATGAGCAGCATCGTTGGGCTAAGTCAGATTGCCGTGAGGTTGTGCGCGAGACGGATATTGGAGAGAGGTTGTGGGGCGGGAGGGTGTTTGAGGGAAGGTTACGGGTTGAGGTCTGCGGTTTATATGGGGCAAGAGGTCCCACGGTTGAAGCGGTGACGGTACGTTGTGAAGTGAACTTCCTCCACTCGCTCGTTCGGCGCGTTCATCACACCGCCTCTTTTTCGAAGTGAAGCATTGGACAGTTACTTTTTACATAACGTGTATGTCATCTACAGCAATGACAATTTCGCAAAGATCTTTCAACATACGCACAATTATGTAGATCTTGGGTTCAAAGTTTTGAGGACTCTACCCTAGGGTGGTGACACACCCGTCTCCATGCTAAGTAAGTCACTGACAACCAGGCGGCTCCTTCCGCAAACAAATATCCCGGTGACTTCCGCCGACTAAATATCAGGCGTTTACCATCCGACCAGTAGACAACTGAAGATATTTGACTACATTGACGAAGGCTATCATTGCCTGATAATCTCTACCCTGAGTACACCGAGCGGCGACACGCTGACCCGTCCAATATCACTGGAGCGCTTCGCATGTCCGGGATGACTCTTTCCAATGTGAAGTTCAGCGGCAGGTTTAGTTCTCTCGGATCGCGTGGAACATATCAGAGAGGCCTCTGATAGCGCAAAGAGTTGACATGAAAAGAAAAAGGTCGTAGTAGAGTGGAGCCAAATGATTACTGCATGGATCAAGAAGCTGCAGAATTCTTCTTGGTAAGAGTGTGGCAGGCATCGGCCGGGATCTCAGCGGCTAGAGCAATGGAAAAGGCGATGGAATACGACTGCAAATCGCATTTTGCGATCTGCGAGTGATTGAGAGCACGATAATGAGTAGTTAGATTCCGATCGCCTCAGTATGCGTTACATGACTGGTCCATGTGTACTCTACCCTTCATGGGGATCTGTCCCTGGAGAAGTAGCAGTTACACCAGTAACCTGACTCACATATCTCGCATGTATACCTTTCCAATTCTCTTCGCATTTCCCCTTCACGGTGCCCACAAGCAGTCGCGAGCCCCTGATCTCTACATCTTCGACGAGGGACCACCCATCCAACTCTTCTCGGAACCCCGGCCCTCCGTCCTCATTTCCATTTTCATCCTGGCCACCCTTCAACTCACTATTCCGTACAAGCCGCCATGTCGTCGTTTGTGACAAGCCCAACGGAGCCTTGATAACCCATTCCACGCCATCCGAGGTGTTCGTAATGAGACTCTCAAAGGTCACAGTTGTGTCCCATAGCCCTTTCGGAAGCGTATGCATGTGGTCTGTGACTTTGTAGCGGCAGGTCTTCGGCGAGTCTTCCAGCGCCGGCAAGGTCTCATAGTGCGCAAGCTCGGGGTCGAGTCGGATGAGGAGATCATGGTCCTGGAGCTTGTCGAGGGCCGTTTCGAAAGTCGCGCCCGCTGGTAAAGGGGTTACGTGATGTAGAGTTGCGGTGGTATTGAAGACTGAATCTGGTGAGCGAGGGAAGGCGCTGTGGGTCGGGTTAATGATGGACTCTCACATGACATTGTGACAGGGTATGCTGAATGTGGAGGTTCTTGGATTACCAGTGGCTCCAGGAGGGTATCTTGTCTGTTCATGGGAGACTTTCGATTTTCAAGGTCAATGTAGAATCAATGAGAACGAAAGACTACAATGTCCACCGCATTGGGGGGTCACCCTCAACGCGTACGGTTTCAGATTCGGAATCCATGTTTGGGTTATCAACACATGGGCTGTGCGTAAGCACCTCCTGCAATGTCCTTGCGCAGCTGGAGACAGGTTTTCCAGGTAGTGGTTACATGATTTTGAGAATTGTCCGTTTTATCGACTTTGGACAGAGTTGATGAGATGTAGTCGGGCTGGATGGTTGACAAAGTCAGCCCTATGATACCGGAAAAGGCATAGAGGCTGCCTGTCTCGACTTAGCTTTCCCAAGTTCCAGCCACCCTGGGCATCGGCGGATGACGTTGGACTCGCACGACAAACGGGCGAACGTCCAAAGTATAAAGGAAGAGAGAGGGAATAAAGCCAACGCGTCAAGGCGGGCTCATTTCCTCTTTACCTTTTCAAAATGGCCATTGGATTCAACCACGAACAAGTCCCGGTCGGCCTCAAGATCGCTCAAGCTGTTGGCTTGACCGCGAGCGCGTACCTCTTTGGTGAGTGGACAACTCCTATGCTAACTTGATCTACGGTCTCGATAGCTAGGAATAGTACTGAATATTACACATCAGGCCAGAATGCATCTATCTCTTATATCGGCGTTCCCGCCCTCATGCAGGCTCCCGCACCACTTGCTGTCAAACAATGGGACACGGTTTACTCGATTGGCAAGAAGACTGCCCCTGCACTGGCCGTCGTGAGCAGCTTAGCTCTAGGATATGTAACATATCACCGTGAAATTCGTGCCTCCTGGTGTTGGTATGCGCATTAACAGCATCAAAGTGGACCCTAGATCCCTTCATTATAAGCTGAACCTCGCCGCCACGATCCTGATCCCCAGTATCATACCCTACACCTTCGCTTTCATCGTCCCAACGAACAAAAAGCTCTACGAAAAGCTCCGGTCTCTTGCTACAACTGGGCTCGAAGACAAAGCTGCGGAGGTTGGTGTCGCCAAGAAGGAGACTGTGAATGCGCTGCTCGACAAGTGGGCGACATTGAACCTTATCCGGGCTCTGCTTGCAGGCGCCGGTGCTGTTCTGGCGGCTTGGGGTACCGTATCTCATCTGCAGGAGACAGTGTTTATTGCCTCTTGAATGCAGCACCAAAAAGGGTGAGGATGAAACCCGGCCGTTATGCTGTTTACCCTAAGGCAAGCTTGGAATTGTATGCTTCGGCGATGCTGGCCCTGTTACATAGGTATAGAGGAGCGAGCTGGCTGGTGAGTAAAGGGCAAGGCGTACTTCAGCGGTAATCGATATGTAGTAGTCTCCTGCCCACCGATGTGTTTAGCGGCAACTTTTTCAATTCCGATCTACGCCAAAACTGACGGATAGCAATACAGTATTGCAGATCTGTTCACTTGCGGGTGTAGAAAAAAAAGGCGTGTCTATAAAGCCCTTCTCGGCTACCTAGACCAATGTCTATCGCGTGAATAACTGATAGAAAAAATTTGTGCAGAGGAAGAGAAAGGTTACTCGATATGTTGTAATACAGTTTACACCCGATAGAGGGGGAGTTGCATCCATAGGTAAGGATGTGAGTATACCAATCACGTGCCTCACATTTCCGCGGGCAAACACCCGATTCCCCGAACATCCCTGGCGAAATCTTTCTGGCGGAAAAGGTCGAGCAACAGCGACGGCAGGTGCATCCTTGGTCTTCTTCCATTCCTTTCCTTCTTTTTACCGCGGAAGGGACTCTTGTTCATGATGAGAGTGCAGTCGTTGGCTCGGGCCCAGTCGCTCACGGAGAGCTGCCTCCGTAGTAGTGCGCGGGCAGCTGCCAGAACTCCTTCGCGATGCTTCGCGTTGAGCGCGACGTTGCCGCGCATGGCGAAGAGCAATGGGTTGGTTTTCAGCTCGTGGATGACTGAGAGATCGTCAATGGCTCAGAGGAGATTTCAATCTACCGCTGCTGCAGTGTGAGTTTCGCAAACCCAGCCTTCGACATAATCCAAGGTGATATGCACGTTGCTAACCAGCTTTGCCTATTCTCAGGCTAGAGAAAGCGAAGGAAGACCCTTCTACTCTATCCCAGGAAACCATCGTTGAGAATCTTGATCCAGTCGAGGCCGCACGCCTGTCCAAAGTTCGCAACATCGGTATCGCCGCCCACATCGATTCCGGCAAGACCACCGTCTCCGAGCGAGTCCTATTCTACACCGGCCGTATCAACGCTATCCACGAAGTCCGCGGCAAGGATGCCGTCGGCGCGAAGATGGACTCCATGGACTTGGAGCGTGAGAAGGGTATCACTATCCAGTCCGCCGCTACCTTCTGCGACTGGACCAAGAAGGAGAATGGGAAAGATGAGACATATCATATCAATTTGATCGATACCCCCGGCCATATCGACTTTACCATTGAGGTGGAGAGGGCGCTACGAGTTTTGGATGGCGCAGTCATGATCCTGTGCGCCGTCAGCGGCGTTCAGTCTCAGACCATTACCGTCGATCGCCAGATGAGGAGATATAATGTCCCCAGGATATCGTTCGTTAACAAGATGGACCGTATGGGAGCTAATCCCTGGAAAGCTGTGGAGCATATCAATCAGAAGCTGAGGATACCCGCTGCGGCTATCCAGGTACCCATTGGACGGGAGGATAACTTCCAGGGTGTTGTCGACCTCATCAACATGAAGGCTATCTACAACGAGGGTGCAAAGGGAGAAACCGTGGTCGTGAAAGACGAAATTCCAGCGGATCTGATCGATTTTGCCAACGAGAAGAGGCAAGTGCTTATCGAGACTCTTGCCGACGTTGACGACGAAATTGCGGAGATCTTCCTGGAAGAGCAGACACCCACGCCGGAACAGATCAAGGCCGCCATTCGCCGAGCAACCATTGGCCTGAAGTTCACACCAGTGCTGATGGGTTCCGCCCTTGCGGATAAGTCGGTCCAGCCCATGCTCGACGCTGTCTGCGATTACCTTCCCAACCCTTCCGAAGTTGAAAACATGGCTCTGGACAAGAGGCGAAATGAGGCACCGGTCAAACTGGTTTCGTATAACTCCCTCCCTTTTGTGGGTTTGGCGTTCAAGCTGGAAGAGAGCAACTTTGGACAATTGACGTATATCCGAGTGTACCAGGGCTGCCTGAGAAAGGGCATGAATGTCTTCAACGCGCGGTCTGATAAGAAGGTGAAGATTCCTAAAATTGTGCGCATGCATTCGAACGAGATGGAAGAGGTACAGGAGATTAATGCAGGTGAAATTTGCGCAGTGTTTGGCGTCGACTGCGCATCCGGAGACACCTTCACCGATGGTTCTCTTGGATACACTATGGTGCGTTGCTCGTCACACATGTCTCTTTTGCCTGGTTGCTGACATTGCCTAGTCGTCAATGTTCGTTCCCGAACCGGTCATTTCCCTGTCTATTAAACCGAAGAACTCCAAGGATACTGCCAACTTCTCCAAAGCTATGAACAGGTTCCAGCGTGAAGATCCCACTTTCCGCGTCCATGTCGACCCTGAATCGCAAGAAACCGTTATCTCTGGTATGGGCGAGTTGCATCTGGACATTTATGTGGAGCGCATGCGTCGTGAGTACCGAGTTGAGTGCGAGACTGGGCAACCCCAGGTCGCTTACCGCGAGACCATCACGAAGCGTGTCAACTTCGACCACACACTCAAGAAACAGACTGGTGGATCTGGTGACTTTGCCCGTGTCGTGGGTTGGTTGGAGCCCAGCGAGACGCTCACTGAGAACAAGTTCGAGCAGCAGATCTCAGGAGGTACTATCTCGGAGAAGTTTCTGTTTGCATGCGAGAAGGGCTTTATGGCCTCATGTCAGAAGGGTCCTCTTCTCGGACACAAGGTCTTGGGTACCTCCATGGTGATCAACGATGGTGCCACCCACGCCGTCGACTCGAGCGAAATGGCTTTCAAGAACGCCACTCAACAAGCTTTCCGCAAAGCCTTCATTGCCGGCGCACCCCAGGTCTTGGAGCCTCTCATGAAGACGACTGTCACCGCCCCGAACGAGTTCCAGGGTAACGTTGTCGGCCTGCTAAACAAGCGTAATGCCGTCATCAACGACACCGAGATTGGTCCCGAGGACTTCACTGTCTATGCAGACTGCAGTTTAAACAGCATGTTTGGCTTCTCGTCGCAGCTTCGCGCAAGCACCCAGGGCAAGGGCGAATTCAGCATGGAGTTCAGCCACTACAGCCCTGCGCCACCGCAGCTACAGAAGGAGTTGGTTGCCAAGTACGAGAAGGAGCAGAAGGAGAGGAACGCGTAAGTTACTTATGGAAATGGGCATCTTGGAGCTGAAAATTATGTATGCACGGTTGTGATATACCTCGTTTTTTGTGTTTATATACCCCGCTGAGGGCTAGGGATGACTGGATATAGAGGATAGAACTTTGGAGTTCTCTGAAGCTTTGGATGCTTGGGATGGGTGTATGTACATTACTGTATTGGTAGATACGGAAACATAGCGTGGAATAGCCATTCCTCTCATGAGCTCAACTCGCCTTTCCACCGAGCAAGACATGAAAGGAAACAGAGCGGATATGCCAAGATTTTATTATATCTAACTTCCTCAAAGAGACTAGCGTCATGTGTGCTATCTTCAACACACCTGGGCATGCGATTACGATTTGCAGGCTGATATATTCGCTCAATCCCATGTCCTAAAGTGCAGTCAACTCGATTTCAGGCACCATTTGCTCGGCCACCCGTAATCGGTCCCGTAATACGAGTGATGGGCCTCCGTTTCTGACCCTGAGCAACATTCACTAGAATGCCGACTTTCCACCCGATCCTCAGGAAATCTTACTGGTTTCTTGCCGGCCTGGGAGGACTATGGGCAGTCTTCATTTTATGCTTAACCAACGCGACATTTCAGCGGCAGTGAGTTCGGAGAGTAGAGTCCAATTCTTGTATCTATATCTGACCGTTTTGCACAGCGTTCTGTATGCGCGTAAAGTGCAAAGCGGCAACTTCTGGCATGATGTCTCTAATCCAGAGGCTTTTGGCTTTGCCAGTAGGTGCTTTGTCGAGGAGAAAACGTTCTGTATTTGACCATTCACGTAGAGGGCCAAGTTCAGCCGTTCTATCTGAATACGACGGATAGGGAGACGTTGTTTTGTTGGCACGTGCTTCCGCTGGATGTGTATCTGGAGAATGAGGACGAGATTGTGCGGAAGGCTGGTGGGGTTTCGGAGAATCTGAAAGAAACCGTGGGGTATAAGTTGTTGATGAGAGATCCGGATGGGAGGGTTGTTGTGAATTTTCATGGAGTAAGTTTTATATTTCCATTTATCTCATTTATCAGCTAGAGAGAGTTGGTATTTGATTAAGCTAGTCGACCGCCTCGTAGTCTAACACGCCCAGAACGCCGGCCACGTAGCTCAGGGCTACCGTCCCTCGACCTACCGCTCCATTTCCGGCATCCCACATACTCACCTCCTAACCTGCGACTACCGGGGCTTCGGCCACTCCACACTCAGGAACAACCCTCACATTCCGACAGAATCCGGCGTCATCACGGACGGCGTAAGTCTTGTCTCTTACATTCTGCACACCCTTCAACACCCTGCCGACCGCACCGTTCTGCTAGGTCAAAGCCTCGGCACCGCCGTCACTGCAGCTACAGCGTTGTACTTCACCGACCCGTCAACTCGCCATCTCCCACATAGTATCACCCATCCGTCGCCCATTCCCAAGACCGCAGAATCCTTCGCCGGAATCATCTTGGTAGCCTCATTCCCAGACATCCCCGTCCTCCTCAAAAGCTACAAAATCTCCGGCATCATCCCCATACTCAGCCCGCTCAATGGCTACCCCAAGATTGCGGCCTATCTCTCCACCAAGGTCGTGGATCACTGGCCCACACTTCTGAGGCTGCAGTATCTCCTTTCTGCGTCCAAGACCGCCAAGTCTTCCCCTGCAGTGCACATTACCGTCCTACACGCCCGCAATGACCAGGACATCGATTTCCGTCTTGGTGAAGCCGTTTATCTTGGGTTAGAGCAGATCGTGCTGGGAGAAGCGAATGCGGAACCTGTGCACGAAAGGAGGACTATCCAGGGGCAGGAGAATGTGAGGAGAGGGGCGTTTGCTTATCGGAGGGTGGAGGATGGAGAGGGCAGGCGGGTGGTGGAATTGGAAGTTGTGAGGTACGGGGGCCATAACCAAGTGGTGAGTTTTCCTCAGGTAAACTTGGCAGTTAGGAGAGCGTGGGAGGGGAATAGGAGGGTGGGCAAGGTTGGGTTGGATGTGGAGTGATTGGAGTGAACGGTTGCGACTCGGAGACATCGGTCTGGAAGTTCCAGATGGGGTATTCCCCTGTGTAGTCGGAATCTGCTTACCTTGATTGTATCGATTAACTGTGTTGACGTGTTCATATGCCTTGGCTCAAGTTAGACGAGTCGTTTGGCCATTTAGCTAGTCAGTTGTTTTTGCTGCTCAGCACCGATGCTGTTGGAGATGGACATGACTCCTGTCGTGTCCTAAAGCATGAGTTGTTCTACGGCTGTTTGACTGCAATACAAGCTTGTTGTTTCCGTTCAGCTTTAAATCATAGAAAAAGGAGCTAGAAGCCGAAGGTAACTACACAGTACACCCCCGTTTTCGATTCCAAGCAGCACAGTCTCAAGCGTTGAAGGAATGATGTTCAAAGCTCAAATGTCGCGCTAGCTTTAATTGGCTTAGTTTAAGTGGGAACAACGCACGGACCTTAGACTTTCAACAACTCCCAGCGGAGTTTCGCGGAGGTCAACCTCACCGCGCTCCACCTCGCCGCCATGACAGAACCGCGTCGGTCGACGCGAGCGCGCGCTCGTGAGGAGGCTGAAGCGGCAGCTACTCCATCTGCGCCCGAAGCTGCACTCAAACCGTCAGATACGCCCAGCAGGAAGGCTCCAAAGTCCAACCTGAAGCGCAAACGTTCCGAAGTCGTGAAGGAGACTATCCCAGCGAACGCTACTCTCGAGGGTCCACAGGAACCTCCCGGGCCCGTTTTGCCCACCAGGATAACAGATGGTGAACCGTTGCCTACATTGCCGGAACCTCAACCGCTGGATCTACTATCGAATGAATACCAGGATGTTCGTGAGAGGTGTGTTACCCCACACAACCTATTTGGTTGCAGGCTGACCTCTTCCCTAGTGGCGTTCTCAGTGCTTCCCTCCAGCGGTCCCGAGCAGTATGGGCATCTGGAAGCAATTTCAGGCTGTTTCACAAGCACTTCGTGGGACCGAAGAAAGTCGCAGACCGCACGGACGAAGACAAGGCGATGATGGCAAGGCAGAAGGAGATACACAAGAACTTCCCCCAGCTGGGAGGCAACGGGGTCACGGCTCAATTGACCATTGAACCGCACACGTTCAGTATCAGACTTTACGGTCCTCGCGAAGTTGTTCGTCATGTACAGAAGAAGCCACCGCCGCAGTACGGGCAGTGGCCCAATCACAATCAGCCTCCGTACTATCATCAACCGCAGCAGCATCCGCCTCAAACTCCGCAAATGCATCATGCACAGCATACTCCCCAGCAACACCGTCCATCGTACAGTCCCGCCACACCCTACGTAAAGCCCACACCTCCTCCACCGCGTCCACCCCAGCCGAAACCGCAAGAGAAGCCCCCGCCATCAAATCCGCCACCCGCTACGCCAGCTCCTGACCCCGTGATCCATATGCTTGCGCAAAGAGCAGGAGTCGACCCTGTGCTGAAGCAGACGATGAAGGTTGTTGCGGAAGGTCGCGCCACAAAGGAGGAACTAGAGCTATTCCAAAAACACATCAACGAGTTCAACCTAATAGTTGAGAAACAAAAGGCAGAAGCTGCAAAGGCTGCAAAAGCGGCCAAAGCTCAAGCTGCTTCTTCGCCTGCTCCACCAGCTCCAGTCCCATACCGACCTTCACCTGCTCCGTATCAACAACCACAGACTCCACAATCTGCCGGACCGGCCCCCCAGCAACAACAATCACATCATCAACGTTATCCTCCGAAGCCATACCAGCCGCCCATGACCCCTAGCTCACAGCATCATGGGCCCCCACCACAGATCCCACCGCAACCTCGCCATACGCCTCACCCCAATCAGTACACTTACAATCAACACCATCATCAACACATGGCTCCGTATAGCCCCGCCGTGCAACCTGTCAAGACAACTTATCGACCGCTCATCTTTGACTTTGCAGAAGAAGGAAACCAGGACAAGTTCTACTTCCCTTCGTATAGCATAATGGAATGGCTCCCGAACAACCAGGGTGCAAAATTCTCGTTTCTGCTTACCAAGATGAAGGATAAGCCGAAAGAAGAGCCTAAGGAGAGAACAGTGCAGTCTGCCCCGGCTTCAAATGGAACAAATATGGAATCCAATGCTGGACCAGGGGCCACAAACGGGACTCCTAACCCGAATGGATTCGTGCCACCAGCTGGTACCGCAGTGGTACCTGCAACACCCGGTCCAGATACTAATTCCGCAGGCCCAAATACGCCCCTGCAAGGGCAACAACCCGTGGTGGGTTCAGGACATGGGCCATTCCAGTCGCAAGGACAAGGGCAACCTCAATCACAGCCCCCTCCCCAGCCGCAGCAGCCTCCGCCAACACCCCAACAACAACAGCAGCAAGTCCGCATCGAAGACTTCGACGAGCGCAACGACATTGGAGATATCGACTTCTACTACCCCGTCACCATGATTGTGCAGGCCACGCACTACGAGATCCTGCAATCCTTGCCCCGAGCGGTGAGACCGCAGGAGGTAGTGGTCAGTTACATGGAAGAGGTGTTTGACAGATGTAAGAGGGCGGAGGAGACGTTTTTGGCGTTTAGGCTGCCAAGGGAGGGGGCAGCCGATGCGTCGAGTGCGATTGTGACTGGGAGGGGAAGCGGGGAGGGGACGCTTGCGGTGGGCATGGCGGGGGCGGGAACGGCGGGAGATGTGGTTATGGGGGAGGTGGTGGAGAGGAAGAGGGTGAAGAGGGCGTAGTCTGGCGCTTCTTTGGAGGTTGAAGTTGAACGAAGTGGTCTGATGGTGAGCTTGGTGCTGTTGGTGCTAGTGCAGCTCGGGTACAGCAGGGACGCCTGACTGTTGAGAATTTGTCAGGCGGAGGAGTGAAAAGCGGCTGGGTATTTTGCATTGGATTTAGCTGTCCGTCTTTGGCGGCATGGATCCTACATGGCGTTTCCGGTGATACCCTCGGATAGGATACGATACGATGACATTGATGTTCAGCTGAGCAGTGATGGCAACGCCTCATCACAGCTACATCATCTATGTAATATGAGGAGCAATACCAAGAGTAAAGCTACTACTTGGATGACACTCATCTTCATCGCCATTCCAGCGAAATCGACAAGGATGTAGCAGTGAAAAACCAAGAACTCCCTGAATTCAAGCACTATATTGAACCCCGCACACAAGAGTATGAATAGACAATGGCAACGACGGACCTATCTATAGCTTGCTATTTGCGAACACCATACGTGCGTCAAGTATTCCGAGGACTGCCATTGCACGGGCGGCACAATCAAGTCTCGACTTGCTATCGGCCGGACGATATAAAGATGCATCTCTTAAATCTTCCAAGATTTGTTAGTGGTTCTGTTTCTCTTACCTATTGCGTACAGCAGCTGGTAATACATATAAAAGCTAGATTGAGGTAGTTTGCCGAACTGCATGAAACCAATGGTCCCTAGGGAACGGGTCTGTCGTGGTCCCTGGATCATGCGGATCTTGTATACATATCTATCTGTGACATGTGTTTCAAGTCCGCCTACTCACGTCACTTTCCCCACACTCTGAAACCCATACCCCGGCCGCAACCAATCCTCCAAGAAAGCCGGGCCCTGGTTCATCCGTAGCCATGTGAAAGGACACTATTCCGTACTCCGTACCATTTCCTTCAAGCTAGGTACTCGTCTCCGCGCAAGTCCGCAGATCGCATTCAATGCCCCTGCGACCCCCCCCCTGGTGAGACTAACGAACATCGGTGAGTCCGAGAGGTGGGATGTAGCTCGTCGATGAAAAGGGGTTAAATGGTACGGAAGACGGAGTACATTTCCTCTTGAAGTTATTATGTAGAATTGGCATTCTAGCAATTTCGCGGTGTTAGCCCAGGGAATGGCAGCATGTGCGTGGATAGCTAAGCTACCAAACCGCAGCAAGTGCAAAAATCAGAAAGGCGGGGAAAAGAGCTCGACACAGCCAGTAGTCTGAGGAGTAGCATGATGGTATAATATTGGAAAAGGGCAATCGAGGACGGATGAGAGAAAGGACAGGACCGGCGGCGCCACGTCGAAAAGTTATCGAGAAGGGGCTCTATAGTCACAAGAGTCCCAGTACCAAAACCTCACAAAACCACATGAAAGATATCCAAATGCATTCGTATGCAAGACCAATGCGACCAATCTATTCCAAAACTATGCACTTGCACACGACCCTTTCCTAATATGTACAAAGAAAGAGCGAATCCCAATCCCTCTCTCACCCAAAAAGAGAGAGCTATAGACGCCGATGTTTGGTTTGGGGGGGTATGTTGCAGTGTCCGTTTTTCCATGCTGAATGAAGCGCTGGCTTTGTGTAGCGAGCGTTGTTTGTACAAGAAATTCTCTCCGATGGGAAACAAGAGAAGGAAGAAGAAAGGAGAAAGAAAAGAATGTGAAGTAGAGAAGGATAATCAAGCCGGGAGTCCCAGACACAGTCCAGGACACCTCCGCATCCCATGAGAGCAAGGTACCCTAGGGATGTGTCGCAAGGCGACGGGAAGGAACAGCGACTTTACCAAAGACAGTGTCCGTGAGTGACGGGCATGAGCATCTGTGTCACGAGATGCCCAGCTCGTCTTGCAAACACTTTGAAGACCGCCCGCCCCTTAGATAGCCCTGCGGACGATCCTGCCGCGGTATTCACGCTTCTGGATGACGCCGTTGCGGCAAGCGGTGCCGGCAGCGACGGCCTGCCAGACGACGGAGCCATGGTTGCAGAGGCCGAACTGGCTCTCGCCGTTGCAGACGATGGCTCCATCAGTGGGGCAGCTTGCGGAGCCGTTGTTGGGAGTACCAGTGGGTTGGGGCTGGGGCTGGGGTTGGGGCTGAGCGGTAGCGGCGCCAGTGCCCGTGGGGATAGGAGGAGACACGACGGGGACGCCAGTGCCGGTGGGGACGGCAGGAGAGCCAGTGACGGTGACCAGGGTCGTGGTTGTGGACTGAGGAGCGTTCGAAGCACCGGGAGCGAAGATGCCGCCGGGGTTCGAGGGAACAGAAGTCTGGGTAGGCGAAGAGACGGCGGTAGTCGAGGACGACGGGAGCGGAACGGGAGGAGAGCCACCACCGCTCTTAGGACCGCAATCGCCCGTAGGGGGAGCACTCTTACGGCCAGTGTTGTCCGCCTTTTCGACGTTCGCTCCTGGATTTGGTGGCTCGAGGATGGTGTTCACCACCTGGGTGCAGGTGTTGATTCCAGGGAGATTGGCGACCAGCATGTCGGGAAGTTGGTTGAAGCCGGACTCATCGCCAGCTCCCCCAGTGACTTCGATGGGGGCGCAGTTCATGTAGTACTCGGGGCCACCGCTGGAAACCGGCATCCAGGTCCATGCGAAGGTGTGGTCGCCGTTGGGAATCTCTTTAGGTATCTGGAAAGAGAATTTTTCAGCACCATTGATGCCGGGGCATCCACCCTGAATGGTCTTGATAACCTTGAACGGAGTGTTGGCGGTAGGCTCTCGGGACAAGGCAACGGACAGCTGGCAGAGACCACCATTGTGGACGGCGCTGCCCTTGAACGAGAGAGTCTGGGTCTCTCCAACAGCCATCTTGTTCACCTTGCTGACTTTGTAGCCGAGCTGGTTTTTGCAAGGGAACTGAGCGGCGTTGATGGGTCCATTGTCGATCGTGTCGACGCTGTAGGGGACGGGAGACTCCATGATAATATGGGCGCTAGCGGAAGAGACAATGGCGACGGCCGCCAGAAGAGTATTGCGGAAAGTCATGTTGGTAAGAGTTGGTCGTACAACGACAAGTGGATGAAGGAGCGTTTGAAAGAAAGTTGAACAAGGTCTGCTAGCCCAGCTAGAGAATGGAGTCTGCAGTTGCAGGAAGAAAAGGTTAGAAGGAAGTACAAAAGGGCCGCGTTTGCTGAATGCAAGACTGCACCTTCAGGAGACCTTTTTATACCCTTCGAGAGCCATCCTGTCGCCTCCACTCTAGTGACTCCACAGAACCTCCCGGACGATCCCTAATTTCCGCTGAAGTTTCGAAGCACTGTGTCCAAACACCGAAAACACGGCCATGGTGACTTGACAGCTCAAGGCGACTCGCTGGGGTGGACGGAACGCTAGAGACCGCCAGCCAACGAGAAGTCATCAATGGCCAACGTCCGAAGCAAGGACATTTGTTTTAATGCGGGCCCTAGGCGGGACGACGGTGGCGGACTCATGCGGAGAGCAGAGGAACGAAACGAAAGGCGGATGTGCCTGACAAGCGTCTCGACTTGGCGTGCTTGCGTGGTGGCGGTCATGGTGGTCGCGAGTAGGCCCCGGTGGTGATCGCCCAGCGTCGCAGCTTCATAGCACCCACCCCGGTCTTGGCCATATGATTGGCCCACGGGCGCGCACCTTGGCTGTGAAACAACTCTTCATCGTCCACATGCCTTTTCGCTTTGCAACCCTTTTCCTCTCGATTCTTCGTCTTTAACCAACGACTGGCCGCTCGGTGTGCCGCCCGGTGTGCCGCCCATTTTCCTTTGCAAGATTTTCTTAGGGTCTCGACTTGCGGGCCATCGAAGCCATTCCAGTGAATCCAGTCAGCCCCATTGCCAGGGGGATTCCCCTGACGATCCGGAGACATGTTTCGAAGCGGCCCGCCGTGATGGGACGGTAACTTTGGCTCGTTTGTCACCTTCCCTATCGTCTTCAAGATCAGCCTTGCCCATTATGCAGTTCGAAACAGTTCACCAAAGTGATGGTTCATCAGTCGTCCTTGGTTTTTGAAGGGACCATGATCGCAAATCCTTCGTTTCATCCAGCTCCCAGCCACAATCCCCTCCCACAGTACTCCGTAGTTCTTTTCCCTTCCGCATAATCCAGCAAGCTTCCCTGGCCCTTCTCTTGACAGTTGATCAGACGTATGTTCGACTTCTCTCCAACTTTCGTAAGGGTACACCTGCTGCGAACGCTATGTGTCCAACGTCGCCGTCGACACGCACATCGCCAATTCGCACTTCCATATCTTTCAACAATCGTGCCCGCTCCATCGCGTCTAGCATCGTCCCTCCTCTGGGAATATTCACGTGAGGGTTCTCATAGGTCATGCTCGCTACAAAGCCAAACATCTCAGGGCCGAGTGTTTTGCGTTTCAGGACAAGTGATGTCGACCCAATGAGCAGAAGGATTCCTGCGGCGGTCATCAGCAATGCCGTCCACGCGTAATTGCAAGCATAAATTTCTTCCTTCTGGATGACGGTTGCATTCGTTGCCGCTCCAACAAACATGAATTGCGCGTCAGTCACACGCCGTCCAAATGCCTGATACCACTCCGAAATGGTGTTGGATCGGGCTGACATGCCCGGAGGCAGATATGCATCTAGGTCGTATTCACCGGATGGTTCGGGCCCGTACAATGTGAGATTGCCGGCGGGGAGAGTGCCCGTGTAGGCCTCGGGTGCAAGGCTCAGTTGATAGTAAGTGTTTAATACGAGCGCTAATCGTCGTGAGAAAACCTCTGGTCGCAGCAGGGAGAGATCCATCCATCCTGGGTTATCGGTGATCTCAGCCGTCGGTGGGACCATTGGGAATGTTGAGGTGTTGAAGATGAACTGCTCAGTAGGGACTGATCCTTTGGCAAGTGGTCCGAATGCTTTGGTGATGGAGTTGAATAGCTTATCGCGTACCAAGCCATGCTCGAGTGGCGTCAACTCCTCGACCACATGAACGGACGGTGCACGGCGGACACGCTGAACTCGACAGCGATCCTTTTCACAGAAGACGGTTGCTTCGAGGTGCATTTGACTTACCGAGCAATTCGCTACGTTCATGGCGAATACGTCGGCTCTATAAAAACCCGAAGCGTACGTGATGACGCGTTTTTCGAAAGTGGTTGTCAGTGAGTCATTCACAAACCCGAAAAGCGCTTCAACTCTAGGATTAGTGTAATCCGCATCAACGTAGGGAAACACAGTCCGTAGATAGAAGGTTGACTGGTCCAGAGGGTCTTTGGCCGTAGAAAGATTGAACCACCTATCGCCACTCCCAGGAACAAGACGTTCCATTTCGGAAAAATTGAACCTGGGAATGCTAGTCTGACGGAACGGTTGACAGTCCATGGTCATATAACTTGTCTCTAGGTTGAATTTTGCGTCCCTATCCTGAGGTCGACCAATAACGGGAATCCCAACCAGGCTAGAATAGTTCTCTGCGGCGACGGCGTTTTGGTTAACAGTGATCCACCCGTCTTTATCCGCGACAGATGCGTTGAGACTTTCTACACGTGGGATCTTGACGTTCCCCCAGGCGTCTTCCATGCTGTTCTTGATGGAACCAGGAGCCAATATCGATGCTGTGAAGATTGGATTGACCGGGGCCAGATCCGCATTGCTAATGTAGGTGCCCTCCATTGCGAAGGCCAAGGCTCCAGGTCCCATGGACGGATACCGTAGCGTAGTCCATGTGGAATTGGAGCTTATCTTAGTCTCCAATAATCGAAGAGACGCCTGACCGCCCAATGGAGACATTGCCCACAGGAAGAGCAGATTAGCTCCTACCAGAGTAAGTCGTCTCATCAACAGCTGGCTTTCGACGGTGCCCCACACTGATTGGCTGGCCATGAGTAGCTCAAGTGTCTGTGCTTCCTGTCAGTATTCACGATGACCGAGAAATCTTGGACCTTACACTCAGTTTGGCGCCCCTCTCTGCCAGATACCGAGCAATCATCTTCATACTGCGACCGCTAATAGCCGCAAAAACAATGGGAAATAGAGTCGGACCCAAATCGGTAGCAACCTCGACCTTTTTCCCGAAGCCATTATCCTTCGTCGGTTGCCCGTTCAGTACAATGGCAGCAACGCCCAGCACTATCAAAGTCAAATCGTTAGCCCTGATTTGACCTCTCACTTTTCCCAAAGAAGCCTTACGGATGAAGTAAACAGGTAGCAACGCCAATATCACGTCCCCAATCAGATACAGGTACGACACCCAGGTGTGCTGCTTCAGCGGCCTTGCCTCTTCGGGCCAGCTCGCGACTTTCGTCATGCTGGCACTCGATGTCGATTCCGGCTTAGTAGGTCCTCGTGATGATGGTAACGCATTGGCATGCTCCCGTAGTTCTTCCCTCTCTGCTTGCAAACCCGCCAAATGAGACGAGGCATCCAGTCCATCCTCGCCATTCAAACGACCCCTCGCGAAAGGATTCCAATTGGCGTGTTTCCAACTCTTCATGGCTGACTCGTTTCTCGAAAAATTCTGATCCGTAGCTAGGGCGACACGTAGCTCAGGAGGAAAGCGCCATCAACTCGAGACTTGTGACAGTGGGTATCAAAGGGCGAAAGTAGGACGAGTGGTCCTCGCGGTGCCGCATCGTTGCTTTTACCTGGCGTGCGCGCTGCGAGGAGCATTGCGGCACAGCAAGCTGATTTGCCATAATTAGGCTTGGTCCTGGGTGAGAGTCCACATGTGTGCGGCTATCTGGAACGTTGAACGCTGCATGCGTGGTTGAGGGCGAATCGATTCACGGGCGAGGCGCCGAGCAGGGGCTGTAAGCGCTGGGAAACCAGGGGATGTGTGATGCTGAGCCGCATGGGGTAATGACATATCAATCCGACCAATTCCAGATCAAGGAGAAGAACGGTTCAAGAGGAGAGAAAATGAATCCAATATGAGATATCCCCATGGACGAACCGTTGATGGCATTCGTCCTTGGCGGCTGACTGGTTAGTGACAGGGTCAGTTCGCGCATTTCCAGAGAACCATTGGAACAGCATGGAGACATGTGCTGCATAAAGCCCATCAATGGCTTTGTTACATAGCATCCAATGGATCATCAGATAGTTCAATCCCTCGTCTCTCCTATCGAGACGAATCGTTCAGAGGCTAAAGAAATATGCTGAAGCTTTGCCGCGATCATGGTAAATGCCCAGGGAACTGAAGTTGAAGGTCTGAGACAAATGCGTATGGGGCAAGTTCAAGTACAAAGCTGTAACTTTAGGTAGCCTGAGCTCCGGTGGTGCCGGGGAGCAGAAGAGAGGTAAACACACGATGTCTGGAAACAATTGTTGTTGCTCTACTGCAGGTGCTACCCATTACCACACAATTGGAAGCTTGGCAATACACTAACCCGATCCGGACAACCAGACCCGTGACATCGCCATTCACTCCCGTCCATGACTAACCCAGTCGTCATAAACACTTATCTACATAGTTCACTCTCATGCACTCAAATCCATCAATTATTATTAACCCTCTACCTATCCCATCATTATTACAAACTCCCCCATTTTCCCCTCCCCCGAGTAATTCCCCTTTCAACCCCATCCCTCTCATGTCCCTAAGTGCGGCTTAAAAGTTCCTCCTCACTTAAAGTGGTGAAGGAAGAAGAACATGACAAGAACGAAAAGAACTCCGCAAACACCGCCGCTCGCTCCCCACAAACGCGACGTTACTCATACATCCAGACATCTAGACCCATCGAAATGAAGACAAGTAGAAAGAAGAAAAAGAAGAAGAAGATATAGGTCCAGTCCGCACATGGCAAACGCCCGACCGAATCGAATCGAATATGCAACCAGAAACGTGAGAACCATGCTGTGAGAAAAGAAAATGCACCGCAACGCGAAACCGCGCAATGCTGAATATTCATACAGCGAAGCTGTCCGTACGGGTTCGGAATCATGATCGACCAGTTATCAGTACCGCCCCCGACTCGCCTGACTAGCCCGACTCGGACTCGTCCTACTCCTCTCATCCTCCTCGAGTACATCGCTCAACCGCGTCGGGTGATGATGTCGCATCCCCGCCCACTCACTACCGTATCCCGCACCGCTGTAATCCGGGATACTGCTCGACACGTACCCTTGCCCGTACGAGCCGCCACCCGATGTCGTGGTCGTATAGCTGGTCTCGCCCTGCGGCGCACTGCCATAGCGCTGCAAATGCTCCAATTCCCGCCTTCTTTCCTCCTGGACGTCGAATTCGTCAGACATGTCGTCGTGCGTATGCAGAGAGCGGTAGGGGACACGGTGACCCTGTTCATCGAGGAGGAAATTGCCATTATCATCGATTACGTATTCTTCTTCTTCGGAGTCGTCGGCTTGGGTGGAGGTGACGTAGGATTGTTGCTCGTCTTCTGGAATGCCGGCACCCGCTTCGGTGGAGCGGTGAAGATAGGCGGAGGGTTGTTGGTAGAAGGCTTCCGGACGGGTGGTTGGGGTTTGGGATTGCGAGGGAGAATGTTGGGTGCTGCTGATGTTCCGTTGTTGGGGGTTTGCAGGAGCGGAGATCTGGCTTTGCTCAGGAGCCTGGCTGTGCGTGGCGGTACGGGAGGATGGCTGGGTTGCGGCAGACACGCCGCTGGGGATGTAGGTTCCTTGGGCAAGTGGAGCTACGTCGGGATCATGACGGAGAGGGGTTCCATGCCGGAAAGGATCGGTGTCCGTAGGTGATTGCGCTTGCTCGTAGCTGTAATGCTGTTCAATGCCATGGCCACTGCTCGCTCCAGTACCGTAGACAGTGTCACCTACACCCGCGTGTTGGGATGGCGTCCCGATCCCTTGAGCCACTGCCCGGGGCACTACGTGGATGCCACCCAATACGATCTCCTGGCCCTCACGCAGAGCCATGGTGCGATCTCGTTCTTCCTGCTCGCGCCTTCCCAGCTCTTCCCAAGCCCTGCGAGCTTCCTCTTTGGAAATTTGCAACTCCCGTTTCATCTCCGCTACCACTCTCTCGGCATTCTGTTTCTCTTTTGCCATGCGCTCCATATTGGCAACAGCTTCAGCACGAGCCTCTCTCTCCACTCGAATCATATTATCCAACTGGGCCTCACGCTCTTGCGCCCGCTCTTGCTCCTGTCGATGCTCATAGAACCATCGCTGGAACTTGCGCTCGGATGAAGCCCGTAGTCGCTGGAGCTCGACTACGGCGTGGAACAGATTAGCGCCGGCTGCGGACAAATCGGTGATTTGACGAGACATCTGTTGAACAAGCGGCTGTCGCTTCATCTCTTCGCTGTTCTGCTCAAGGTGACGGATCCAGTACGATGTCAAGCCCTCCCAATGCGAGGAGAGCTGCTCCCAGCGCTCGAATGCATGCGGAAAACTCGAGGTGGTGGACTGGCGAGCTTGACTTCCGGATTGTCCTCCTGCGGCACCCGCTGCTGGTTGCGAAGCCGCTGTGGACGCTCCAGCGGCGGCAGTTCCAGCCTGAGCAGACGGTCGTCGAGAATGCTGCATAGGCGGTGGTCGCCGTGAGTCACTTGCGGATGCAGCTGCGCCGTCGTACCCAGATGCAGGGGCGGGACGAGGCTGCGGCGGTTGCGCTAATGAGCTGGCCCGAGGTCTCCCATACTGAGTTCCTGCAGGAACATCTTGTGCTTGACCCGAAGTTGGGGAATGCACAGGCCCGCCTGAAGCGGAGGTAGGCGCTGCTCTTTGCGCGTCTCTAAGGATTCCTCCTCCTCCTACGGATGAACTATGTCCATGATGACCGTCGCCCGATCTCAAAGGCGCCGACTGAGCGGCATACCGTTGCGTACCGGGTGCAATAGTCGTGGGTGCTCCAGCAACGCCAGCAGCTAAGGCTCTACGCTCTGCACTTTTCCGACGCTCCTCTTCGGCCTTCCGTTGCTCTTCAGCAGCACGAGCATCCGCCTCTGTCTGTTGCCTTCGAGCCTCGCGTTCGCGGCGCTGATTCATGATCATCTGCGGCGTGCGAATGTTGGAGCGGTCCGCTTGCGAGACTGGGACAGGTCCGGCAGTGGTTCGCGCACCGCCATTGGCGGCTCGACCGCCCCCAGCTCCCATCAGGTCGGACATGGAAGCGTTCTCCTCGGCAAGGTCAGGTGTGAAGGGATGAGGTGTGCGGATGGCTTCTTCGAGGACGAAGCGGATGGCAGATGCAGTGCGACGCGAGATGCGCAGAGCAGGGTGGGGGCCGAGAAGTTGAAGCTCGAGAGCCGCTTGAGAAGCCGCGGTTGTGGTGTATTGAGGAGTCTGGAAACGGACGCGCGGTGGTTGAAATTGAGCTTGAATACGCGACGATGAATCGACGGAGGCCGATCTTGTACGTGAGCTTGGGCGTTCGAAGTTGGGCGTTCGGCGTAAGCTGCGCGCTGGACTTCCAGATGAACTCGATGCTCGTGAGTGGATGTGCTGAGCCCGATAGTATTCGGCAGCCTGCTGCTGGCGTTGCTGGAGAGAAGAAATATATGGCGGTTCGTGAGATGCGTTGCGGGTGGTGGTGTAATCGTGGGTCTCGTTAGCGGATGCGGGGGACCTGGCGGGACGCAGGTTGGAGAGCTCCAATGCTCCCAACGTGGTCAAGGTGAGAGCTGCCGCCGAAGTGAATTGCTCTGGCTACGCACGCAATTGAGCCCGGCCGTGAAGAGTCTCAACTCGTGGAACGTGGACAAGGCTGCGGCCGTTGGCGTAACGACGAAAGCAGTGGAGGGGGGCGCGCAGCAGTGAGACTGGCGGGAAGGGCTCGAGGTGAGGAATGCAACAACGTCTGCTGTCTTTGACAGTTAGTTAGGGAGGAGGACAGGGGATGTTGCAGGGAGAGCTTCCAGCGAAGGAGCTGGTGATGCATTGGGGGTGGTTGGGGAGAGGCTGGAGGACTTGCGAATCTGGGGGGCTGGGGACGACGATGGTGACGAGACGACACTCACGACAAACGGGCACTCTCCTCGGAGCAGACCGCTCATGCCTCACTCCAAGCTCCACTCGAATCGAAAGCCTGTATTCGGATCGGGAGCTCAGAGATGGCGGCCAACTCTCCGTGCTGGCGTCGTAAAGCTGGCAAGACTTCACCTTTGGCTCGCCGCCAGGCCTAGGAGGCCCGTGTCCTGGCTTTTGAGGAGTGCAAGGGAAAGGAGAGAAAGCAGAGTGCGGGAAAGTGTCAATTGATAGTCGCAGGACATGCTCGTGCAGACAAACGGCACACTGCGTGGAGCGTTTGAATGAAGTGTTGCTGACCCGACCGTGTGCGACGTCGCTCTGCTTGAGTTGCGACGAGTAGTAGAGCGTTGCCGCACGACGGTGCTCGAAATTCGAAATTCGAAATCCGGGAGCAGTGCGACGGGACAGGGCGAGACAGGGCGCGCTGCAGGCAATCGAGTCGGTCGGTGGAGGGTTTGTGGGCGTCGCTGATGTCTCTCTCATCCTGCGGCGGTTGGTGCATGCCAGCTCACACCTGCAGGACTAGCCCGCCCCAATATCATCGGGGGCTTGCCCGGGCACACTGCGCAGAAATGCGAGGCGGCGCATGTCTGCTGGGCGAAGCGCGAAGACAACAATAGACGTGTATGCTTTACAGACGGGAAGAGTGGTAGTACAGCAGAGTTCTACTGTCCAAGTCAAACAGCGTGAGGAGTCGTCGGATAGCGCATTCCTTTATTAGACTTAGAGCACGGAAAGCGCCCGAGAGCAAAGCTTCTAGGCCAATCACAGCGCGTTGCGATTACACTGCCACGTGAAGCACCACAGTAGGTACTCAAGGGTACTCCGTATGCCTATACCATTCTTCACCAACTGCAAAGTATAACAATAATCGACCTCCAAGGAAGACTAACATCATGAGCAATCATGACGAGAAGCGAAACCATTCCTAGCCTCATCATCCAAGCGTCATATGACACATTCCGTCAAAACCGCCCTTCAAAACAACAAGCCAATTAAATCCTCCCATCAAATCACTCTCTTACAAAAGAAGTAGACCTGCAACAAAGACAGCAAACATGCTCGCTCCCATACCAAAGCGGCTGGCAGCACCTTCGAACTGCGGCGGCACGTTCGTCGGGTACGAGCCATAGCCGCTGCTGCTCGCAGTACCGCTGGGCACGTACACAAGTGTGCTGTTGGCGGGCGCATAGGGAACGGGGTTTGGAGTGTAATGTACAGGTACCTTGGTCAGAGTGACGACCTGCACGACCGTGTCCGTCGAGTGGACCGTCTCTCCCTCCGGCGTCTCGGGCACGTACCCCTCGCCTTCGGGCTGTTCTGGCACGTAGCTCTCACCCGTAGGTTGGGGAGTATAGTATTCCTCCGTCTCATGAGGAGCCGGCTTGGTGAGGCTCTTCGTGACGACCGGTCCCTTGGAGCTAGCGACAGGGAAAGCCGAAGACCCTTGCGCGGAGCCGGTAGGGGATGGCGAAGCAGGAGGATATTCAGACGGCCCTGCAGGAGTAGAGGAAGGCGCACCGGGGTAGACGTTAGTGGAGGAAACGCTGCCCGTGGTGCATGGCGTCGAACTGGGGTGGGAGACACCGCCAGAGGTGGGTTTGCCGCCGGTTGGGTGAGGCACTGAGGAGTACACCTTGGTGGATGATGACGATCCCGTAGGCTGAGCATTTCCGGAAGTCGAATTTTGACCACTGGAGTAGACAGCGGAGGAAGCGGCGGAGCTGGTGGCATATACACTCGACTGAACCGAAGAAGGCGCAGATGGAGCAATCGTTGAAGTGCACGAGCTTGTGGCTGGTACGCTGGACTCAAGCGAAGGCGTTTCAGTTGGGATGAGCGATGACGCCGCAGAGCTGGAAGCGGATCCATAAGACTGCACAGAAGATGTCGCAGATGGAACGATCGAGGACGTGTCAGAGCTTGTGGAATACACGCCAGACGGAACCGAAGACGGTGAGGATGGAAGGATGGATGATGCCGCGGAACTGGTATCGGCGGAGCTCGTGCCATACGCGCTGGACTGGACTGAGGACGGTGCTGCAGAGCTGGGGGCGGCCGAGCTCGTGCCATACACGCTGGACTGAGCGGAAGACGGTGCTGCAGAGCT